TAAATCTAAATCTAAATCTAAAGGATGAATTGCCTTGGATTGGGGCGAAGTTATATGTTCCTGTGTCCATTAGACCCATTGTTCTTCAACGGGCTCATGACTCCCGGATGGCTGGGCACTTTGGATTTGTCAAGACTCTACACCTTGTCAAGCGGCAATTTTGGTGGCCCTTTTTGAAAAAGGACATTGAGACATATGTTGCCAGTTGTCCCATTTGTGCTGCTGCTAAACGCCCTCCGGGTAAGCCCCAGGGGTTACTCCAGGCGGTGGCTCGCCCAGTGGCCCCGTGGAAGGAGATCTCCATGGATTTCATTGTTGAACTTCCTGAGAGTCAGGGACACACTGTTATCTGGGTTGTTACGGACTTATTCTCCAAACAGGTCAATTTCATCCCTTGCTCCAAGATTCCCTCTGCTAAATCTCTCACTAAGATGTTCATCTCTCATGTTTATTGCTTGCATGGGGTGTCTAATCTAAATGTATTGCTCCTTATTAATTGAATTCTATGTTGTTGTTTTTTACTTTAGGCATTAAAAAAACTAAAAAAAAATAGTTTTCTCCATGATTTTTCTGGATAAGAATTTTTACCTGGTGCTTCCAATTCAAATGATAAATCCTTACTTTGCTTATTATGGTGTAAATTAATTCTATTCTAATCTTCCTTAACTAAATATATTTATATTCCTTGGATGAAGCAACTTGCAGTTCTATGTCAAATAAATTTACTATTATTTTAATAAGGTCAGAATTTAATGCTCATATGATTTTTCTAATATTTTCTAATATTTCCTTATAATTATAACATTAACAAGCCCCAAGAAACAATAAATCAGAAAGACATGCACAATCAGAAAGACATGCACAAGTTAGTCTACTTAAGATCCAAAATTTGCAGTTTATATAAACTTCAGAATAGGTACAAATGAGAAAGCAATTAACAGGGGTAGAGGGTAGATGGGGGAGAGACCTATAAGCAAGTGCCAGGCTTTACCTGAGCATTAGTGCTACATCTGGTCCTTGCCAGGAAAAATAACATATATGCTAAGGGATAAATTGACAGTTTCCTTAATCAAATATAGAGGTAGTTTCTGCTGAGATTTTCACTTTGTGTGTTATTCACAGTACCACAATAAATTCACTCCATTATCTAGACAATGATGCAGGCAAAATATTGGTTATCAAAAGTATACATTAAATGAAACCCAACCATATGTATTATAGACTATACATATACATAGACTTTTGTTTCCAAAATACAAAATGAAAGAGCCAATAAGGTCAGGAGGAGGGGGGGAAAAGCTAGGAAAACAAGGGTAGAGCAGCATCAGGTGTTAAGTGACCTGTTATCACTTTTCCACCAATTTAGAATTTAGCTTAATATCAAAGTATAGTCTCTGCATCAGGGATAATTCACCCCAAGAAAGTTATTTGCAACTCCTTAAAGCATCTAAGATGCTAAAGAGTCACATTATTATCCTCCAAAGCAGCCATGAAATCCAGGGAAAGAACACATATTAGTTTAAAACTGTAAACAAGAAACATGTTTGTGCTCTCATACACTCTGGATCAAGTTTCCAAGTTTTAAACCAAAGTGCTACACAGCCCTATTCCCAAGGAGAGCCTTCTCTGTGGCTGCTCCGACCCTCTGGAACGAACTCCCCGTGGAGATTCGAACCCTCACCACCCTCCAGGCCTTCCGCAAAGCCCTTAAAACCTGGCTGTTCCGACAGGCCTAGGGCTAAAGAATGGTTGCCCCCGTCTCGAATTGGTATGACTGTTGTGTTTTAAACATGCATTGTTTTTTATGTCATTTTAAATTCTTGTTTATATCCCCCTTCCCTGGTTGAGTTGTGAGCCACCCTGAGTCCCCTTCGGGGAAAAGGGCAGCATATAAATAAAATCAACATCAACATCAACAATTAAAATCTTTAGATTAGACACAAAAGATAACTATCTTGAACCTAACCCAATTATAAACATAAAAAATTCTACTAAGCTAGTTGAGCAAAAACTCTAATTCACATCAGGCATCTTCCCACTTTACTACATATAGGCCATGCACATCTCTATTACTAATAAGACATTTAGTAGTTACTCTTGACTTAGTGTAACCATCAATGACTATGCTAAAAAAATATCATTCCCATGAAGTAAATTCAAAAGGTACACAGTAACAGTTAAATGAATCTGCTCCAATCAACATCCTAACACACAAAGCATTTACTATGAACAAGTGACACAAGCAGTGCTCTCATATCAATATTATACCCAACAGTGAGAAACTTCTAGCATTTCAAGGACATTTCCAGGCTTTGTGCAACATGTTAATGGCTGTTTTGCAAAACTGGAGAGACATCTAAGGAGGAGATTTAGGGGATTTTAAGGAGCAAAATGGTGCTTTAAATTAAGGGGCCACTTAACGCCTTAATCCTTCTCCCACAAATGGCTGAAATTTTGGTTCCATATATAAATGAGAGGCAGCTTTCAAGGGCAGCAAAAGGGATACATCAACTACAGTGCTCTAGATACTCTTGTTATGCACCTGATTTTTATATATACAAATGCACATATACTAAAGGTAAAGGTTCCCCTCGCACATATGTGCTAGTCGTTCCCAAGTCTAGGGAGCAGTGCTCATCTCCGTTTCAAAGCCGAAGAGCCAATGCTGTCCGAAGACGTTTTCATGGTCATGTGGCTGGCATGACTAAACATCGAAGGTGCATGGAACACTGTTACCTTCCCACCAAAGGTGGTTCCTATTTTTCTACTTGCATTTTTACATGCTTTTGAATTGCTAGGTTAGCAGAAGCTGGGACAAACAACGGTAATGGGAGCTCACTCCGTTACGTGGCACTAGGGATTTGAACTGCCAAACTGCTGACCTTTCTGATCGACAAGCTCAGCATCTTAGCCAGTGAGCCACCGTGTCCCTTGTACACATATACTATACAAACAATTTAATAAATAAAAATCAGATGCATAACAGAAGTACCTAGAGTACTGTAGAGTTTGTGTATGTGTGTGTGTGTATGCCAAATATACAGTAGCCTGCTACAGTTACTGCACTGGTGGATATCTCCTATCTATAAAAGAAAGAAAATATAATCACTTTACACTGGCAAGACAATAAAAATTAAGGAAAGGGAGTTTATTTTTTTAGAATGTAGAATACAGTGATTGGATAGAAAGGCAATTAAAACAATAGCCTAGTTTTTCATACTAAGCTTCTTCACTAATTATTTTCAGTTATACTTTTCCTCCTTGACAATTAAAGTTTATAAACTTTATAAATAAAATAAAGGTAAAATATGGTTGATTCTTTACTTTGCACTGCCATGTGGCTTTCTTTCTTTTTTTTTACAGTATTGTATACTGGAAAGGGTCCTATTATACCCTGATGTTGTACACACTACATTAATATTCTTGAAGACGGGTAATCAAACATTTTAAAGTTACATTTTTATTATGAGGAAAAAGAAGAATAAATAAGCCATATTGACTTATTCGTGTGGGTTAATATGAAAAATGAAATTATGCACAAGGGTGTAGATCTAATTCAGCTACCTAAAATTCAATGCATCATACACCAATTTAATCTGTCTCTTTAGTAGAATACTAAACCATTGGCTACCTGGACTAATCTTAATTGGTTAGGAATCTATGTTCTACGAGATTCAGCCCAGCTATATTTACACAACAAGCTATTCCATGGTTAACTGAAGTATAGTTTATTTATTTAACCAAGTGCCTGAATCAACAACCACAGAACTCTAAACAAACTACATAGGTTCATTTCTGAGCCACAAACTAACCAAATGTTCAGTTTAGTATGTTTGAACGCATCCCTCATATTAGCACAACAGTATCACTCCCTAAATCAGTACATGTGGTCATGTAAATAAGTCTTAATAAGCAAACAAAATCTTATTTTTGTAACAGTAACATTTTTTGTGTTAATACCACATTAAGCCTCCATCAATCTCTAGGGCAACCCTTTCAATATCAGATAGTACATGGATTCTATTGGTTGGAAAACACATGACTCACACAATCATCTTAACCTCTTTGATGTAATTCAATTTCTTTGACTTATTTGAACTGAGTTCCAATTCTCAAAGGAGTTCCATAACACATTACAGGTACTTCTCATTTGAAGTGACTTATGATCAATCCTTGCGCTTACAAATATTGCTGCCTCCCTGCAGTCACATGACCAAAATTTGGACACTTAGCAACCAGCATATACATGTTGGCAGTATCTTGGGAGTCATGTGATCACCATTTGCAACCTTCTCATGGAGCTTTGGACAAGTGATGTTAATGAGGGAAGGTGAATTCACTTAACCACCATGGTAATTCACTAAACAACTGTAGCAAAAAAAAGTCATAAAATTGGATGCAACTTGCTTCACAACTGCATCATTTAGTGATGAAACTTCCAGTCCTGATAGTTGTCATAAATCAAGGACTTCCTATAGTGGGTCCCTTGACCCAAACATAAGCCTACAAGAATGAATTATTTTAATTAGAGAAAACAGAACTGCCCCCTTCTAGACTGAGTGCTGATATAAAAAGGTTTTGTCAAAATATTTCTAGTAGCCTTCTTCAAATCACTATCATTATCATACATGCAAGACTTCCAGAAATAAAAAGATCTTGCCAAGATCTTGCATTTAAGGGGGTGGGGGTAACACTCAAGGAAGCCTTCCCCTCCCATTTAATAGAAACCAAAAAAGGAATCAATGCCACTCACCAGTAAGCAGTCCGAATTCACCTCAGATTTGGGGTCTTTTATCATCATCCCGATTTTTTCAAACCGGGACTCAAAGCTTTCTCCCGTCGACATAATGTTGAAGAGGCGGGTCTCCTTAATCCACAGGAAATCAAATCGGGAGAACCGGGGGGGGGGAGGGGGTTGGGGGGAGTTTGTCTCCCTGAGTTCTCCCTCTCAGAGAAGAGCCGGAGACTGGCTGGGGTTGTCCCTTGTCCTCCCCCCGTTACACATCGTCGCGCGAGCAAAGCGAACGTCGAAAACGGGAAGGGAGGCGCGTTCTCGGTTGCCCCCGCGAGTCTCTTAGGCTGTGCTCCCTAGCCCGCCGGTGCGCTCTGGTCTCCAGCCCGAGGCCCTGTGTCGAAGGAACCACATTTTGTCCCGATCAGCGTAGCGGTTCCTCCCGCTTCTCTTTGGGTATTATTAGCTGCAGAGCAGCAGCTTTGAAAGAAGGGAAGGAGGGGTGGAGGGAAAGCGCGAGGCCTACCATGAAAAACAGGAAACTTTCTCAGCGGAGCTTCATCCAGCTGCTCCCTCCACCGAGGCTCGGGCCTGAGGCGGCGCACGGCTTCATTGCGTACTCAAGCCACGGCGGAGGCAGCGCGGACGAGCCGCTTCAAGAGGCCCCCGCTAGCCCCCCACCTCTGGGTCGGGAAAAGCAAGCCGATGCCTCCGCTTTGCTCTCCAGATGCGCGAGTTCTCTTCGGCCGCCGCGTAACGGTTGAGATGCTTTCTTCCTCTCCCTCGCTCCCTTTCTCCCCTCCTCTTCCGCAGCTTCTCCGGTTGCTGCGTTTCCCTTCCCTTTTTTCCTGATGCCGACCGGGGAGTCAAAAGTCTCGGAGAAGTAGGTGCAGCTTGCTTGAGTTCCGCTGCTCTGCTGCTGCCCCACCTTAGTCCGTCGTGGCGCTCGAGTGGGGGTGGGGAGGCGGGGGAGAAAAGAGAGAGAAAGAGAAAAATGCAATCTCCTTCCAATGGCAGAGATGAGCGAAGGCAAAAAAGTACAAAGCCGCAGGGTAGTCACTACCGCCTCAGTACACTAGCTAATCAAGGAGGGAGCCCTCTCACAAATATGTCCGCCTTCCTGTTCAAATAGTCTAAGCCAGACCGGAGGTAAGGGCGCATGCGCCGGGGAAGAACCACCGCCGGCTGTGACCGCGGCTGCAAGCGCGCGCATGAGCGTGAGGGCCTGTCCTCCTCTTTCTACGCTTAGACGCGACCCCGTTTCGCTTCTGCCTCTTTCTCACGCCTCACCAAGGAGAGCGCGAGAATTAACGGCCGGTCTGCGCACGTGAAATCTTGAGGTGATACTAGGCGACGGCCTGCATATGTGTGTGTATACACACACACACATACATACGGTAATATATAAACTATGCAATAGCATCCAACGAATAAATCTGTTAAAGCTGGATTTGCCAGCGTTCAAATTCCAAAAAAGACGGGGATCTACATGGCAGCAAATTCAGAATTGTCCAAGGACAGTTTCTCTGTGCAGTGGATTAGAGGATGTGCTTAACTCCTCTGGAGTAGATTCTTTGTGCAGCGCCTGTTATTCCGTGCCACTTTTTTGAAAGATTGGCAATGTTGTAGTTAAATCTTCTTGTGTGGTAGTGAAAGATGTGTGTCTTCAGCACCCTGGATGTTTCTCATTATGCATATCCTAAGTGGAATTCACGTTTAACGAACTCAAATCTAGCGAGATGGACAATTGAGCAAGAAAATTTTTACCATGGGTTGTTAAGTGAATATATTTTGAGAAAATAACAACTCAATGACCAACAAAGTAAATCATAAGTTGTTTTTTATTGGCCTTTTGTTGGAAGTTTGTGATAAATGGTTTGTGGCTTAACCAGTCACAATGATGCTTCTTGTTAGGGCAAGTTCATCCAGAGAGATCTTGCCATCGATCAGGAGGTCCTCTCTGCAAAAGTTATGAAGTAGACTGTATGGGCTACAAAAATCTGGATGATTAATATATGTCTGTGAAAAGGCAATATTCAGAAAGTATGTTAGCTTTTTCTGATGGAAATCTAAATTTCATTTTCATGGACTGGGAGATTTCCTTTGATTTCATCTTAAGGGAAACACTTTAGGTTACTTTAGTGCTACTGTACTTCCATTAATAAAATACTTGTTTATCTCTTACTACTTTTCTCATAAAAGGTTGCTATCTTCTTGTCACAAAATCATTTAATTTGTATTATTCACGTGAAGTATAAATTTGCATATACTAAATATAATATGTACCAGTTACCTGAACAATATCCAAATTTTGTTTTTTGTTCAAGAGTCAAATTCTGTTGCCTTCCCTTTCTTTACTAATTTAGCATTTCAAGGGTATACCAAAGAGTAACTTTCTGTGAAATCATTAAATCACACATTATTATTTTGCAGCATCTATCACATGGGGCATTAAGTATTTGCTACCATTTTTCTTAATTATTTAGGGCACTGATGGCGAACCTTTTCGGCACCGTGTGGCAAAAAAGAGCATGCACATGCGCACAAGAGGAACTGCTCAGGGGGCATGCGCACACTGGAAAATGAACTTCCGGTTTTTGGCACACGCAGCGTCGCTTGTTCCTCTTCTGATTACTGCCACACATGTATGTGTGATGATCAGCTGGCTGGCGCGTATGCTCCCTCTGGAAAACGGATCACTTCAAGTTTCCAGCACTGCCGCACACATGAAGGGCAGCTGATAGTTGTCCACGCATGTTCACCAGAAATCCGGAAGAGGAACGGGCAAGAGGATACAGGGTCTCTGTGCGCATGCCCAAGATGGTGTCCTGTCGTGTTTGAGGAGAGCTTCGGGGAGATGACTGTCCTTCTCGGGGGCTTGCAGGGGTACCCTATTCCATCGTTGGTTCCAGGTCTAGCTATGAGAACTTCCTGGGACTTCGGGGATACACTGCGATTTACTGCTTCATAGCTGGAAAATCGTGAGTGAAAGGGGGCGGCTAGCGGTGAGAGGAGAATGAAGAGCGTCAGTGGCTGCCAATGTGGGTGCGGTCAGCGGCAGCAGCGGGTCGCCAGGCTTGGGATCTCTGCAGCCGACGTGGATGGGCTCAGCGCTAGCTTCCCACTACCCCTCTTGAACACAGCTGGTGTGGGTGTGGTCATCGGAACACCCAGCCTGGGGTCTCTGAAGCCGGCGTGGGTGTGCTCAGCGGCAATGGCGGCGGGTCGCCCGCCTTGGGATCTCTGCAGTCAGCATGGGTGTGCCCAGCAGCAGCCTCCCACTACCCCCCTTGAACACTGTCGGCTCCCCCTCCCCATGGACATGTCATCTCCTCGTTCCATCTCCCNTTCCTTCCTTCCTTCCTTCCTTCCTTCCTTCCTTCCTTCCTTCCTTCCTCCCTTCCCTTCCCTTCCCTTCCCTTCTGAGTTTCCTGCTGGACAATATTAGATAACCTGGATGCTCTGTCCTTTGACAATAATAGTAGTAGTATTTTTATTTATTATACAAATGGGAGAAAAACACATGCTCTTTAAAATTTAATTCATAGCAGTAAATTTAATATGGTTGTCCACTCCGAAAGACTTTGGTGGCTTACAAATCCATAAAAGGAGTAAAACCCACAAAAAAAGGCAGTCCAGATTAAAGCAACTACAACATCAAAAGATATAAAACCAATTCAATAGCGGTTCAGTCCATCGATCATATCCAGGTTAACACTAGGCCTGGATGTGACAATTGTATCAGCGTGAATCAAAAAGGATCCATTGTAAAATCCTCAGAGCCCATAACGTATAATAATATCAATACCTGTGCATTCAGACTGGTTAATTATATACTGTTTTTAGCGGATCCTTTATATCTGGAAAGGAGGAAGAACTTGCAATATTTTTCCAATCTTCCATTTAACCTTAAAACTACAAACCAGTGGCACAGCTGGTACAATTTCCATAGTAGCCTCCGAGTTCAGTGAATTGGAATTATTTTGGGTGAAGAACCCTCGTTTTCAGATCTCACTCCACTTTGCACTGGTATCTTTATTTTTAAAAAATCCACTTATTTTCAAAGGAGCTTAATTTGAGGACGCGCCTTCTTTTCTTGCTTCATCCGAAGAACTCCAAAGATTTAAGCTTGGGAAAAATCAAGAAATGAAAGTAGACAAGGCTTTCTGAGTATTGGGAGAGTTTGCACCACTGCCCTCCCTTTCAAGGACTTCGCTCAATTCACTTCGTCAATTAACTGCTCAGATTTAATCAACAAAGTCGTTTGTAAAATAGGGATTCCCTCACGCTCAGAACAATGTAGTTCCAAAGTGGAGGAACTGATAAAATAATGGCTCCTCCTGGCAATAACTCAGTCCTAAGGTCTTGTGTATTGTGGGTGGGTAGGGCTTCTCTACAATCAGGGTGAGAAACTTTACCCCGTAGCAACACAGAATTTAAAACTCTCAGCTGTCCCAGGTAGCCCAGCCAGTGGAGAAGGATGGTGAAAGTTGTAATTCAGCAATCCAAAGAGGAATATATATCTATATCTATATCTATATCTATATCTATATCTATATCTATATCTATATCTATATCTATATCTATATCTATATCTATATCTATATC